GCCACTATCTTTTTTTTTTCATTACCATAAACTTAATATCATTAAATAAAAAAAAATATAAATAATATCATAAGAAAAATAAATTCCAAACAAATCTTTTTCACAAAATATAGATGTGACTTATATATAGTTTGTTGTAATTATGGTTTGTTGATGTTATATTATCACCTCAAAGTCGTGTAATTATTTTCAAATAAAAGTTTTTACGAAACCTTATTTTGTATTTTAAATGTCACATCTCCGAATACTTTCCATCAAGACCGACTAATATTTTTATCTCAATCTACCGGCTTGCTACTTCTTAACGAGTTTTATAAATTTGATTTTTTTTTGTTATTTAATTAAGTATATTAAGATAATAAAAACATAAAATAAAGTTTCTAACTAAAAGATTCAATTTAAGTGTTAAAAATAAATAAAACATATGAGTTATATATATATATATATATATATATATATATATATATATATATATATATATATATATATATATATACTAGCAGCGCGCAAAGCGGCGGGGTGTGTAAATTCTTTCGGTGATATGTTTCCTCTACAAAAATGTTATGTTACAAAAGAAAGTACATGTCGAAAACAAAATAATCAAACTATGGTGTTATTTGGAAGATGAAGTCATTTTTTGTTCCTAGACGGTGGGCTTTATAGCAGATGAGGGAACAAAGAGGTATATGCGATTGGAGGGATATTTGAATCAACATGCTAAATTTAAGGATATCTAAAAGGGTTCAAAATTTGAATGAATCCGGGATTTGAGGGAACAATATCAAATTGCTGAGAAATATAAGGAGATTTGATGATAAATATTTGAATTCAAAATGTGGTTAAGATTTAATATTATTTTATTAATGTTTACTTGTACTATCAGCTTCATTATTTGGACGTCTTAAAAAAATATTATTATTATAATCAATTTATTTTTAGAAATAGTTAGATTTCTTTTATAAGATAGTAAAGATATATATATATTGCTAGTACATATGAGTTTGATATAATTTTAAATAGAAAAATAAGTTATATCGTACAAAAATCTATAAAAATATTGTTTGACAAATCATAAATAATTAGAAAAAAAGAAAAAAAAAAAGAAGAAAAAAACGAGAAGGTTTAATGTTCGCATGGGAAAAAAAAGATAGCCTATGTTTGACATATCTTCGATAATTACTAATTAAGACTAAAAAAAGTCAAAAGCTATGTATCTTAATAGCCAAAAATAGAAAAAAAATACTAGTAATTTATTGGATAGGCTAGGAAGTGAGTTAACATGGTCTAATATTAGATTGGTGTGTAATAGGTTTTATAAGATGTTGTGTAAAAAAAATCCGAAAAATAAACGGAGGGTTGATGATTTACCAACTATTTTTGTGTGATTGTTGTTGAATTTTGGCTGAATATAAGAATGTGTGTATTTCGCTCTAGGTTTTGTTATGGCGGGTGAAAAGTTGTTCTTTCATTCTCACCATTGGCAAGTGAAATGCTGCTCTTCCATTTTCACCGTATCTGTAGTCCAATGCATGTCTTCCATCCAGCTAGACATGTGGCTTCTTCTATAAGCTTTTAAGACAACTTCATACCACTACTTCCATAACCGTTTCCTCACTATCTCTATCATCTCACCATCGCTTCCGTTAGTTTCATAAATTATAGATGACAATTAAAGAGCAACGTCCACCACCGCTTCACATTTTCTTCCTCTTTCTTTCTTCTTTCACCATCGATATTCCTATACCGCCGACTCCCCTCGAATCACTATAGATGTTTTTTTCCACCCACTTCAACATTGATTTCCCTCCGCCACATTTCCTCCTCCTCGATCATTAAATAGCCACGCGTGTTGATTGCATCGGTGAGCCCCAATTTAAACTAGGGTACTTTTTTTTTTTGCTTAGATCGACCTCTTCATCCAACTTCTTCCCAGACCCACTCCATTGGTTTTTCTATTTTACCCCTAAATTTTTTATGTTATTCAGTTTTGGAGTCGACATGAGGTATGCTCACTTGCATATTTTGTTGATCGGATTTGCTCGTAGGTCGTTATATTTGCTGCAATATCTCAATCATCATTTTAACGTTACGCCCTGTTCCCGAGTTGCAATTAACAAGGGAAGTCGAGAGAAAATAATGGAATTAGAGAGAAAGACTGATTCAGTAGCGTTCCTGAGTTAATTTTTTGGAGTGATTTGGGAAGAAAGGAAAGGAAATCGGAGGAATTTTTTCTCTCCTAATCTTCCTCCCAAATTGGAGAGAAGAGAATCAATGGAGGATATAGAAAATCACGTGATTACCATATTACCCTTGAACCATATAAAATCACGTAACAACATCAACACACAGGAAAATACAATTGCTGCTACAGTGCTTCTTCCTCCTTCACGCTGCTACTGTGTTTCTTCCTTCTTCACGCTCTGTTGAAGCTGTTGACTTCCAAGATCAGGGTTTTTTTTTTTTTTTTTTTTTAAATACAATTCTTCTTCTTCTGAACACAGTTCAATGATTTCTTTTGTATGATTATTATTTACCTGTGACTATAGAACTCATCTAGAAATTTATTAAAAATTAAAATTGAAACAAACAAAATACTATAAACACAATGAATATAACTAACGTGATAATTCTCTTATTCAACAATTTTGATGATAGGAACAACCAATTTACCTTGTGTTCATTGAATAGTTGTGAATTCATTAATGTTCTTGAGGAATTACGCTCTGGAACAAGAACTACATGTCAACTTATTTTGCTATGCTTTAGAGATTTGAAATACCATGAAATTTTCCAGCATCTTCCCCATTTTATTTTCTGTATTAATTCAAAATTAAAAGCCTTTACATCAACTAGATGAACCACAAAATGTTTTGATATTTCTGATCAAAATCAAGAACTTTTTTATCTAATAATGATTCATTCAGTCTTCCAGATTGTAAACTTTCTGTGTTTCTCTGTAGTTATGGTAATTTTTGGTATTAAAGCACAGTAATACTCATAAAAATTCTACTTGAAACTCAAAAACAATCGGCTTTATTTGTTAAGTAAAACTCGGAACATATACATACTTAATATACTAGCTAATAGTATAATTACATATATACCCTTTGATATAATTGCCATGTATCAAGATATATAGCTATGGAGATGGTCAAACAATCAATCTCATATGTAACTCTGTTTAGATATAGACTTAGTTAACACAATTTTAGAACCATTGCATTAAAATAAATAATAAAAAATCAAGTTATAGGCTCGTTAACTAATCCTAGTTGTTAAATATCTATCTAACCTATAAAACAAGACTCATAGTTTAATAATTTTCATAAAATAGGTAACGATGGATAGTGACATACAAACACCTGCTCAATTTCTCAGAGTCAGGCAAAGACAAGTAATTCATCTGATTTGCTTGTTGATGGCCATTTTGACACATCGTGCCCTTGCCAACACAAACCGTCCCAAATTACCTTCTAGAAAACTTATTTTAAAGCGACGACGTATACGTGAACAGTTGCTACACGACCTTTCAAATGGTGGACAATGCCGTGAACTTATCCGTATGAGTGAGCAGGCTTTTAAGAAATTGTGCACTATCTTACAACAAGTTGGTGGTCTTTGAGCTACTCAACGCATGTCCATTGAAGAGCATGTTGCAAGATTTTTGCACATTGTCGGGAATGATTTTAGAAATCGATTTGTGTCTTGGCTATACCGTCGCTCTATATCCACTACAAGTAAGTGCTTCCATAGAGTTCTTCGAGCAATTATATCACTGGAAAGTCATTATATTCAACAACCAAAAGGTGACGTTGTACAAAAAGAAATCCAAGAAAAAAAACGATTTTATCCTTACTTCAAGAATTGTATAAGTGCAATTGACGGGACACATGTTCGTGTCAAAGTACCTAACAAAGATGCCCCTAGATATCGTGGTCGCAAGGGATACCCTACGATAAATGTCTTGGCTGCTTGTACGTTTGATTTAAAGTTTACGTACATTTTAAGTGGTTGGGAGGGTACAGCATCAGACTCAAGGATACTAAAGAATGCACTCACTAGAGAAGATAAACTAGTAATTCCAAAGGGTAAATTTATAATACCAAAATTAGTCTTATGTGTAATCTAATTTTTAATACATAATTAATTACAACTTATTTGTAGGCTGATACTATTTGGTAGATGCTGGTTTGCCTCATACAACTACACTAATGGCACCATATCGCGGTGTCAGATATCATTTGAAGGAGTATTCTGCTAGGGCCCCTGAGAATGCAAAAGAGTTGTTTAATCTTCGCCATGCTTCATTACGTAATGCTATAGAACGGGCATTTGGTGTTCTAAAGAGAAGGTTTCCTATCATTAGAAGTACACAAGAACCTTTTTATTCTTGTGAAACACAGTCAGACATTTTCTTGGCATGTTGTATTTTACATAACTTTTTGTTAGAAGAAGATCGAGACAAAAATCTTGAAGATGAGGTCCTACAGGAGATGTTAAATGAACCAAGAGAGGAAATGCGCCATAATATAAGAGAGACAAGTGAGAGTAATGCTGTGGCAGAGCGAATGAGGAACTTAATTGCAAATCAAATGTGGACTGATTACTTGCCAAATCGAAACCATGAGATAGATATGTCAATGTAGCTACTAGTTTTTATCATATCATTTCAATTTGATTTTGTATGGATCTTTTGTGTTTGACTTGATTTTGTATGAATCGTTAGTGTTTTGACTTTATTTGTGTTATTTATCTTTTGGACATGTTATTTACTCATTATTTGTACATCCTCTAAGTATGTATTTTTTATGTTATCAATGCTTGGTTTGTTTATTTATGATGTTATGCAGGTCAAAATGATGAAGGAAGAACAAGTTACTAAGAAAGAACACATAAAATGGACAGATTGGATGGATTATTGTTTTATTCAATCTATGATGACATAAGATGAGAAAGGATTAAGGATTAGTGGGAGTTTCATCCCACAAGCGTACTCTAACATGGTGGAAGAGCTTAATGAAAAGTTTGGGAAGAGTTTAACAAAAAGTCATTTAAAGAATCGTTTGAAAACTTTAAAATCAGGTTTCTCGCAATGGTATGACATGTTCCGCGGAACTTCATTGAGTGGGTTCAGTTGGAATTCTGAAACACAACTAATTGAAGCGGACGAAGAAGTTTGGGCCAACTTAATTAATGTACGTTTCTTTTATTTTATTTTACTTAGTTTGTATACATTTATGTTATTTTTCTTAACGATAATTCTATTTGGGATTGTGTGTTACAGTCAAAGCCAGAGGCAATTTCATTGAAGTCCAAAAAAATACCAAACTACAACGAAATGATAGCTTTGTTTGCGAAAGATAGGGCTTCAGGGGTGCATGCTGAAACCTCGAAAGAGAAGAATGCTCGATTGAACAAGACCGGGGATATCAAAGTAGAAACAATTGACGAAGTGGATCAGTTACTAGCAAGCAATGACATAACACTTGAGAAACAACAAAAAAATAATGATGATGATGACGATGGTCTTGATGATATTCAAGTGTTATCTCCTACATGCTTTTCACCGGTGCAAAATTCAAGTTCTAAGAAGTACAAAAGTAAAAAAAGGAAACATGAAATCGAAGATGAAGATGAACTTGAAGTTGAACCTGAATCGTTTGAAAAGGTTATTATGAGTGCAGTTAAAGATGTGGCTTCTGCTATGAGGGAGGGTAACAAAATCTTCGAAAACTCTCATCATCGGGTTTATACTGGTGATGAAATTTATAAAGAGTTAGAGCCAATGGATTTGGAACCAGATGAATTAGCAGAAGCTCTCATGTTTTTGTCGTGAAATCAAGCTGATGCGGGGACATTATTTAAAGTTCCATTTAAAATACGAAAAAGTTTGCTGAAAAAAATGATGGGGGCAAGTAAATGACTTACTTAGGATGGTAGTTTTTTGATTTTTAATCAGTTTGACTTCATACTTTTTGGTTTTTGGTTTGAGTTCATACATTGGAATTTGTTTGATTATGCTTGCATTGAGTTTAAATTGGTTTCTTATGAATTTGTTTGATTATTCATACATTTATGTTATTTTTGGTTTTGGTTTATTTACTTCTTTTACCCTTTATATTGATTTTGTTTGAAAAAGTTATATAAATGAAGAATATACTAGGATTGTGATTAATAATGAATTATGCATTAACGATTTTTATATAAATAATCATGTAAAAAAAATAATTAAAGAAAAATAATTTAGGCATAATTTTGTTTTCAAAATAATTGTGTGGTATATATTTGAAATTATGGAAAAAGGTGACAAGGGTATAGTTGTCCATGTTTAGTTTTCATTCGGAACAGAAAAATACACTTTACTTTCCTTTCCATTCTTTTCTTTTCTCTCTACATTTCTCTTCTTTTCTTTTCTTTCCTTTAAATTCCACTCGGGAACAGGGTGTTAGGGTTTAGATGATTTGTAACTGAATTTTGACATTAGCCTTCATGCTTCGCCCCATAACCAAACCAAAGTCTGTTTTTTTTTTTTCAAAAAAGTTTACTAGAAAGAAATTTCTTCTTCAACAATGCAATCTATATATTTCAGCCTAGATTAGTTGCATATACTAATGCGTAGAGCCCTTTTTGTCCAGTTGGCCTATGCTGACCACTCTGTTTGGTTCATCATCCAACACACATATGAAATTGAATGAATTAATCGACCATTAAACCCAAGGTTTCATGTAATTTTAGATTTATGTTTGTATATTTCACGTCAAGAAAACGTAACTTTTGTTTTATTGATTTATATCCATCTATAGATTAGTGTAATCCTTCTCTTGTTGAAATCCCTCATTATACCTCTATTGTTATGCGGTTCAGTGGATACAAAAGGATGACTTAATATAGGTTCGAACAATAGGATTGAGTTCGTTCTAATCAAAGTAGACGAACTTGGAAGAGTAAGTCAAAGATTCTTTTATAAATCTCCCAACAGCTCAATTGAGCTTCAAATCTTTACTTGCCCTTTCCCTTGCCCTAATTTGGTTCTTTGGTTTTTGTTTTGGACTAGACTTTTGGATGCAGGAAACTAGTCAACCGATGGATGTGACTACAGGTCTAAGAACTTCAACAATCATCATACACAAGGTCAATCTAGCTGGACACATCAACTAATTCGGTAATTTTATTTCTGCCTGCTTTCTTTTCATGTTTTTAAAATTCATTATGTGGCTCACAAATGTTACTTTTTTTTATAAATGATTCGTTGTTTATGGATTATTTTTGATGTTCGGCTACAAACACATACCTCATGATGGCTATTCGCATTAAATAGAAACATCCTTGTATAGTTGTTGACATTAAGTGCTTAACCTATTAATGTCATTAAGTAAAAAAGAAACAGCTTCACTCATTCCTATTAAGGTGATGTTTATTTTTTACCTAATAGGGTTAATGGGGACATGATCAGGTAATCTAGGGTTTTTAGATGCCAAAGTCGGGTGTTTAATAAGTTTTTGCCTATTTTGTTTGCTTAGGCGATCATTTCTTGGTCTTGCTTTCATTGTTACAGGTTTATATTGGGGCTCTTAATAGTTAAGATAATTAAATTGTGTGGTTTGGAATGCTAGATGGGCTAACGGGATAAAAAGAGGTATATGAAGACCTCAAGATTTTGGTAACATGACATTGTGTGTGGGGCAATGGCGGACAAAGAAAGGTTAGTTTGTTTGCACAGTTGTCATATGCGTTGCATTAGTCACTAGACTCAAGGGCCTATGAATTTAAAGCTCAATGATAAGATTATTTGTTAAAAAGAGAAAAAAATGGAAAAAATAGCAGCCAACCACAGATCCTTATTTTAGATGTTCATCAATTGTCAAGAACACAATTCTTTTATAGGACAATGAAACAATAATAAACTGTAACTTCTATGTTTCCTCGAAAGAGTATTTAACTCTATGGCTTTCTTGACCGCAGACGATGCCCAATCTTGCATCTGCTTATCGTACTATGTTGTAATTTCAATCGTAACCTTCAAGTTACCAAATAAGTCCTTATTGTGGACTCCTTCTTCTCAGGATAAATTCTTTTATTTATCTATTGTAACAGACCGATGGGTCGTGTTCTAACGACCTCTCATCATAGTCGGACTCAATTTGATATGACCACTAGGGTCGGAATAACAACCATCTTACTAGTCATTACCGAAACAATGGTAATGACATACTTGAATAAAACGGAATCATTTATTGGCTTTTTGGTAACCTTGTGACTTTCCTCGATCCAAGTGTGAGTCATGTGCTTCCGGTAGTAAAGTACAAAGATGAAAATGAATGCCAAATGTACTTGTATTGAGTATGCTAGTACGCCCTTCTTTTAGTGGGAGTATAATTATAGAAATGAAATTTTTTTTGTAGATTTGGAAAGAATGGTGGGTAGGAAAATCTCATTATATAATAGAATTTATGCCAATATCAGCATTACAACAAGATTTATCCTCATTGGACTGCTGTGTATTGCAAAAGTTGCAAACAGACCAACAATGGAGGAAGTTGTAGCCATGCTGACGAACAAGAATCTCCCTATAGGAAAACTACCTATGCCAACATGGATTATAGAAAATGATTTAGATGATACAACAGATACCCTAAAAATATTACACTAATGACTATGATTCTAGGGCAGTTGTCTGATGAGAACTTTATACCTGAGCTATGTGTTGCAGTATTCATGAACATTTGAATCTCATTATTAAATTTATGGCTAGAAGTTTCTTTCAAGCTCGTCAATAGATCATTCTCATGATCAAATGTATTATGGATCTATAATTTTTTTGTTAATGTTCAACAAATGCCTTATTTTGTTTGTGATAATACCATGAGTTCATCATCATCGTAGCAAAACCTAGTTTCATCCTAATTGTCATTTGTTTGGATGAATAAAGGAAACCAAGAGTATTAATACTTATTGTGACGAAATCAAACATCTAAATGATCAATTGAAATCTATTAGTGATGTTGTTCCAGACTCTGATTCGGTATTCGGTAATCCATACTTTCATAAAAAGGTAAGGCAATTACTTGTTAAATCTGCCAAAAGCATGCTCACGAAGCTTCGGTTTGTTACCATTATCGAGGGTTTCCTCCCCGTGGTGGTGGACTGTGGTGTTTCTCACGGTGGTCGAAATCACAATTCCAGAGGTGGCTATCGTGGTGGTTTATCCTTCCCCAACAATCGTGATGGCGGATTTCACGGTGGTCGTGACAGACGGCAACTCTTCAGCGGTTTTTAACGACTCTCTTAGCAAACCGATAGCATCAACAACGCTTTTGGTGCAGGTGGCAGTAGGTTTGCGTTAATGGCAGCTCCTGTAGTACCCCACACATCATGGAAAGCGGCGACACCCTATACTTCTTGGACTCAATCTGGTGGAAAATTTTACGCTTCTCAACTTCCAAATGGGTCATTGGGTTTTCTAATTCACCAAACGATGCAATTAGACCGCATAATGGGCAAACTTTGTCAAATTACTCGGAAAATGGTGTGATGCATAATTTTGGGCTTGATCACTTTGCTGCTTGAGCAAATCAGCATTGTGGTCCGGATTTGACTAGAGCTGCGCATCTATGGTTCCGGACCAAATTTGGGTTGGCCTCGAAACAATCCCATTTTTATGGGGTTGGTGTTGAAACGGTCATTAAATTTTATTTAAAACTAGAAAGGTTACCTCCGCTACGCAGGGATCAGAAGCTTTCACTGTTGTTTTCGAATAGATAAATATTACAGACGTAGAAAGTGCAATGATGAAAAGCCCGGGCTTTGCGTCGGACCGTTTTTTTCATGTTTTTATGAAAAAATGTAAAAGTTTGATTGCAAGGACCAGAAGTATCAAAACGGCTGACGAATTAAAGGGATAGGACTTAACAACTTTTTAGAAAAGGGATCAAAGTTGTCAAAACTGTTAAAGTTGTGTGGCAAAACTTTAAATATTAAAAGGTTCCTAAAAAATGTTAAAATATTGATTGCAACGATCAAAAATGGCAAAATTTATAAAAATGAAGAGCAAAGTTGCCAAAAAACATCAAAATTACTATTCCTAACTTTGAAGTCCAACAGTAATATAAGGACCAATTCTGAAAAAAAAAATGATAAATTCACTATTCCTTTTCTTGAAAACTTTAATATATATAATAATGATATATTAAAATTTAATAAAGAAAAAAGAAAAGGAATTGAATAATGTGCGATTAAAAATTATGTAATTGAAACAAAAATGATATGTTTATAAATTATGGATTTTTTTTTTTTTGAGACCGGTCTCGGGTCGCTCTCAGACCAGTCTTATGTTGGTCCCGAAATGGTCAGGTCTTTTTTACGTTCAGTCTCGAAACAACCTCTTTTTAGATCAGTTTTTTTCCGATCCAGTATTTTTTGACCCGGTTTTGTTTTAGACGGGTTTCATCTTGTCTTTTTTGGATCCACTTGTCCAAGATTGTTCTTTTTGTGTCTAGATAAAACCATCAAAATTTTGGTCGTAATCTTCACACCAATTATGTAGCACAATCATGTAATTTCCCTTTTTTTATACATGTACTACTAATGACTCGTGGATTCTAGATTTCGGCCATACTTCACACATGACACCCGACACATCTTTAGTTGAAGAGACTTTTTTTTTTTTTTTTTTTTTTGGTATATTTATCTTTAGCAGTGATTGTACCTTATGTCTTGAATGCATAGTTATTAATGTTCACACATTTTTTCACTAATATTGTCCTTGTGGTAAGAGTGAGGAGTGGTCCGATTGATTAAATAATTTTACAAAATAATATATATATAATTTTGAAAAAT